TTGTTCCACATTGTTCTCCCTCTCTATCAAGGATCTCCTACATAGATCCCCTTCCAAGTGGATGACAGTGGTAGCCGGGCACCATCTAGTTCTGGTCTCATAGTCATATAGGCTGCAGATCTTGGCTGTTATTTTTATGAAAGTAGATCTCCAAGTCTTTTTCCTACATGAGTTCAATCTGCTGGCCTTTCAGTTAGCAGCCAAGTGCTTAACCATTGTGCCACCAGGACTTTTTAAACTGGTTCACAATGTCCAAATAATCCAAGCAATATGACTTTTATAAATATAATAGGAGATTTAATTTTAAAAAACTTTCTGAGTGTGTTCTTATAGTGTCTATTATTTAGTACACTAAAACCTATTAAGAATAGGCTTTCTCTGATGTTTATTATTATCGTCTTCATAATTTTTTTTTTTTTTAATGAATCTAGCTTAGCGTTTACTTTTTATTCTGCTTGCTTGACCTAAGAGGTTTCTACTGCAAGGAACAGAAGCGTCTATGCTGAAAAATAGATAATTATTCTTTTATTAGTAGGCAAGACAAGTACTTAAATAACAAACATGACAAAGCCCTAGAGGAGAATCTTTTTACCTCTATGTAAACATAAGCATGGGGGGTTAGAAGTGGGAAGAGGGTTGATACATGGAAGTTCCTTTCAGCTTTTATAAGAGTTATTCAGTGTTCATTGGTATACTACTTAGAGACATAGTGCCATAAAGATTTTAAGGTCTAAAGAGCTGGAATGTAAAGTGTCAAAACACTGAATCCCTTTTGAGCTATTAGCAAATGAATTAGAGAAAGCCTCTTGCCAGGCGGAGGAGTTCTGGTGGTGCAGTTGTTAAAGCACTCAGCTGCTAACCAAGTTTGGCCATTAGAACCCAACAGTCACTGTATGGGAAAAAGATGGCAGTCTGCTTCCATAAAGATTTACCACCTTGGAAACCCTATGGGGCAGTTCTACTCTGTCCATAGGGTCACTGTGAGTCAGAATGGACTTGATGACAGTGGGTTTGGGGTTTGGTCATGAGGCAAGAGAAGCTGAGTATTTTGCCAGCTATATTAAATGTTACAGAATAACTTAGCTGTTATATGACAGGAAAAGGGTGTACTTTACCATCCCAACCCACTGCCATCAAGTCGATTCCAACTCATAGAGACCCTTGAAGACAGAGTAGAACTGCCCCATAGGATTTCCAAGGCTGTACATCTTTACAGAAGCAGACTGCCTCATCCTTCTGCGAAGCAGCTGGTGGGTTCAAAACTCTGATGTTTTGGTTTGCAGCTGAGTGCTTTAATCACTATGCCACCAGAGCTCCTGTACTTTACCGTAAAACGAAACTTAGTGCCGTCAAGTCTATTGTGAGTCATAGTGACCCCTCCTTGAGTTTCCAAGGCAGTATTTCTACAGAAGTAGATTGTCCAACCTTCCTTCTGAGGAGTGGTTGGTGGGTTGTGAACTGCCACCCTTCTGGTTAGCAGTCAAATGCCTTAGGCACTACACCACCAGAGCTCCAGATAGAATTGAGGTTTCTTCCAGAGCTAATGAATGTCTATTACACATTCTGGAGGGTTAACCTTTGCAAAGACAAACCCTAAGATCAGAAGCAACCCAAATAAAGATGATAAATACCTGTAGACTGATGGACTGTAAACTCTGATGTTAGGATGTGTCATTGAACTCATCTCCAACAGTTGGGTAGAGTAAAAACCCAGTAAATCTTTGTTGCATGCAATTAAACTCATGTAACAGAAGAGGACTGAACAATTAAACTTACTTGGGTGTAACAAATAATACCTTTTTCTTCAACCCACTTTGAATAAACAAAAAGACAAAGGAAGTATGAATTGCATCTTCATAGGAAAGGTATTCTAAATCCAAATTATTGTTAACATTTCTCATTCAAAGTCCAGACGTTCTGACTACTTGTGAATAAAATTGTGCTTACTCAATGAGTTTATAGGCTTACACTCTAAGTCTTCCTCTGCCCCACTTTTACTTCTGATCTCATGAAGGTTATCACAAGTAGTTGCTCCTTTGAATCACTATAAACCGAAACCAAAGTCACTGCCATCAAGTCGGATCTGACTCACAACGACCCCTCTTTGGGTTTCTGAGGCAGTATCACTACAGAGGTAGTTTGCTCAACCTTCCTGCCAAGGAGAGGCTGGTGGGTTTGAACTGCCAGCCTTCTGGTTTGCTATCAAATACCTTAGGTATGCCACCAGAGCTCCCTTGAATCACTATGAAAGGGTGAGAAGGACTGGAAGGCAATTCTAAAGTCTAACTTCAGGTTTTAGCATATCAACAGACCCTACTAGGGGAAAAAAAAACATACATATATATATGTTCCATTTTAAGGGCAAAAAAAAATAAATTAAGGAAGCCTATAAGAGGTTGGTGTTATGTGCTGTGGAGTCGGACCCAATTCATAGTGGCCCTCCTTGGGTTTCCGAGGCAGTATCACTACAGAAGTGGCCCTCCTTGGGTTTCCGAGGCAGTATCACTTCCTTCTGAGGAGTGGCTGGTGGGTTTGAATCTCCAGCCTTCTGGTTAGCAGCCAGAAGGCTTTAGGCACTATGCTACCAGTGCTCCCCCCAATAAGACGTAGGTGATCATAATATACCAAAAAAAAATTCATATGAAATTCAAATTTAACTAGGGTTTTTATTTGCTAAATCTGGCAACCCTACATTCATTCTAAGAAAGGATCATATTTCTTTGGCCACAAAGAAGCACAAAATACACTGTTCCTTGTGGTAATATAAAATTTGGGTATGCAAATGCTTTGTACCAATTCAAATTTTATTTGTATATATGTGTGTGTATATATATATATATATATATATATATGACAATGATAGAACAAAACTGAAAATAGTTTCCTTGGACAATTAGGATGATAAAGCCATCAAGAGAGAGGTGTAAGTAATGGGCTTCTAGCTGTTGTGGTCTGATTTTTCTTTTTATGAAATTAATAGAGGATTTTTTTTCTAAATTTTAATTAAACAAACTACTTATATCACTAGACATGCCTGACCAATGAGCTTTGCTTATTGCTAAGGTAAGATGATGTGAGCACAGTTAAATACCCACTATGACACGTGTCTTACTCTACCCAGAACAATCACTGTTGCACTTGATAAGACACTGAGCAGCTGGAAATTTTTCTGGCAGAGCATTAGTGGTTATGAGATGGCATGCCAACATTTTGTGTTTTGGGGCATCCAAAATCGAGGACCTAAGAATGGGACAGCAGCCAATTTCACATACTAATATGCCAAAGCAATATCAATTATTTAAAAAAGGGGTGAGGGGTGGACTGGAAGATAATACATTTTTCATGTTATGGGACCTTCTAGAGTCCTGGATTTTTCAAAATGATTGGATGGTAATCATCTTCATGATTTTTCTAGGCATTGTTTTTGAGATAGTATTCATAAAATTTTGTGCATCCTTTCAGAAGAAGCCTACATTTCTAGAGAAGGATAGTCCAGATAACCAGGAGGTAAGAACAAATAGGTGATTTCTTCTTCCCCATATTTCAAAATCACACAGAAAATTATAGAACTTTGATATTTGGATTGTCCCTCTAATATTTTGTCTCTCTTGAAATAGAATGAAGACAGATACCTGAGAAGTGTAAAGTTAGGTAAATATCATATGTTATATTTTAATATAGAACTTGTTCAGCCTGAGCTGCTCCCATTAATATTCTTTTTTTTTTTTTTTTGTATTCTCATTTAGTTCTAGATAATTGGTCACTTACTTGTTCATCTTCTGAAGAAAGGTGAGTGATATATTTTCAAATTACAAGTAGGTTGGTTATGTTCAAAAGTAACATTTACTTCTGAATTTCAGAAAAGGGTTTTCCTATATGTACAGAAGACAACAGTTTTTAATATAATTCAATCTAACATTTTTTAAAAGTAGCTACTATGTAGCCAAGCCCTGGGTTAAAAGCTTTTCATAGATTATTGAAATTATTTCATATAAAAATCCTTGGAGGTAGGTAGTAGTATTACTGTTGCTACAGATAAGGAAAATAAAGCTTAGAGAGGGTAAGTCATTTGCTTCTCTACTCCAGCTTCCCTACCCAATACACATGAAGAAGCACTAATCACCAGTTCTTATCATTCAATTGAAAAAAATGTTCATTTAGCACTTACTGTGGACCAAGAGGCACTGTGAAAGAAAGGCCTGGCAATCTGCTTCTATAAAAATTAGAGGCAAGCCTTTCAGTCTGGAATTTAACCCACTCCTGTGACATCCAGCCAAGCAAAAGACAGGCATAGGAGTTGAACATTTACCTGAGGTAGATACACTCCTTGGAGAGAACAATCATGGGAGAAAGAAGGGCTGCTTATGCACAGGGAGATAGCTCAGGGGACAGGAGCCCATGGAGGGATGGACACTGGGAAGAGGTAACTGTGGGGAGGAAGTGGGAGGGGAGCTGTTGCATTGTGGTGAATTGTGGTCAATGTCATGAGACAAAGTGTATGTGAACTGCTGTATGGAAAGTGAATTTGCTCTGTAAATTTTCGCCCAAATCACAATGAAAAAAAAAAAAAAAAGAAAAAAATTACAAGCAAGAAATTTCTATGGAGCAGTTCTACTGTAATATGTGGGATTGCCATGAGCCAAAATCAGCTCCCTGGCACTGAGTTTAGTTTTATTTTAGTGGAGCGTGCCAACACTGAGCTAGGTACTGTGGAAGGGTTTATAAAGTCAGAATTTATCAGCAGCCTAAAAATATATCAAGGTTAGGGATTAATACTGACTGACATCATCACTAACCTTGTTACCAGTATTTTATTTGATTTAATCAAAACCCATTTGGCAATCATTAGGTGTCTTCTATGTAATGAACACTGTGTGTTCTAGAATTAGATAGTCCCTGTTCTCAAGAAGCTTTTATTCTTGTGGGATAGGCATATATAAAGGATGACTGCTGTGTGGTCTAGATGCCTATATATATATATATATAGAAGTATTATGAGAACATTTAGGATATATTGAAGCCAGTATAAGGGAGTTAGGAATGACTTCAAAAGAATGTTATGATGCTGGAACTGAGCTTTAAAGGATGGATGAAAATTAGCTGGAAAAGAGGATTAAGAAAATTAAAAAAAAAAAAAAAAGCCATTCCAGAATATAAACAAAAGTAAAGGAATAAGAAGTAGCAGAATATATGCAATACATGGTGATTGTTTCAGGGTTGCTGCAATATCAAATATGAATCACAGAGTAGTGAAAGATGAATGTGAAAAGGCAGGTAGGAGTCAGATCATGGATGGCTTTCTGTACTATGGGAATGGCACAAATTTATATTTAGCTAGATCACTATTATCTGTATTTGAGAAGAATCTGAGGATTACTTGACATTAGTCTAATTTCCTTCATTTGTCAGGCCTAAAAGGGTCTCATTAATTTAATCTGGTTGCTGTCTTTTCATTGGATACTAGACAACTCTAGTTCTGAAGTGGATGTTTGTCTAAGGTGCAAAGCTATAACAATATCTGGAGGTATGGGTAGATAGAATCCTACCCAGGAGTGGTTGGGAACAGCCAAGCGTAGTTTGTTGCACTGCAAACTAGGACACTTCAGTAGATACAATCAGAATAGGTGATTGTTCAAACACCCTATGGAGCAATTCTGCTCTGTCATATAGAGTCACTATGAGTCTGTGTTTGAGATATTCAGAACATAAGGCTATATTGTGATCCAAGGTTTGACATACATGGTAATTTGAAACCAGAGGGTTAACAGGCAAGAGAGGAAGCCACAAGAAGAAATGAGGAAAAAAGAAAATGACAAAAGGAAAAAAAGATTTTCTGCTTCAGAATCAAAGTTTTCCAAATCTATGCACCGTTATTCCCTTCCTGCCTAGTCTTGATTTAATCCTTAGACACTTTTCTAGGTGGCATTGCTGTTATCGTGTCCCATTAAGTCGATTCTGATTGATAGTGACCCTATAAGACAGAGTAGAGCTGTTCAGAGGGTTTCAAAGGCTATAAACTTCATGAGAGTGTATTTCCAAGGCTAGGAATCCTGTGCAGGAGGCATTAGAAGAAAGTAATTGAGAAGAAAGTAGGGTGGTATTGAAAGAAAAGAATGGTGGCAGCATATTGTGATTTAAAAAATAATATATATATATATATATATATATGTATGTATGAAAAAGATCAAAAGCCCTGATGCTTTTTAAATGCTCAGTTACTAACTAAAAGGTCAGTGGTTCAAACCCACTGGTGGTTACATGGGAGAAAAGCCCTGGTGATCTTGCTTCTGTGAAGATTACAGCCTAGGAAACCCTATAGTGCAGTTCTCCTGTGTCATATAGGGCCACTGTGAGTCAGAATTGGCTCAGTGCCACACAACAGCAGCAGGTTTACATCATCATTCTGCCTCTTAATGATCACAAGGCTATAGGGAAATTACTTAGTCACTAAACCTCCATTTCCTTATTTCCAAAATAAGAATTAGAAGAACTACAGCATAGGGATAATAATGAGTAGTAGTTGACATGGTATAACAAAGTAAACATATTTTACCTTTGATAAAACAAATGCCCCAGATTCCTTTTTTGGGACAAAACTATGTTTAGGACAGCATCTTAATAAATTATTTTGAAATAGAAGGGAAAAACTCCAGGGCTTTCGAATATTTGGAAGGAGCTCAAGCATCAATACGGTTAAAATGCACTACATCAGAAAATGAGTGGATTTTGTCTTGTTTAAAAAATAGGGCAAAGAGGAGGGAAAATCAAGTGAAATTGTGTGAGCCTCGGGACTCAGTGATGTAAATGATGTCATAGGATGAGACCAGCACTCAGTATCTGAAATCAGGGAAACCCATACCATGAGGCATAGTCTCAGTGAACATGGCAAACTGCTAGTCTTACACAGGATCTTGGGGAATGGTTTGTTTCAGGGTTGCGTGGGTTACAGTGCCAAGAGTGAGTTGACCTTAAAAGTGTATTCTTAGGAGTAAGTCTGCCCCCAGTTACTTGACTTTCAAAACCTGAAGCAATTACTGACTGGTTGGGTTACAGAAGCATAATTATAGAAGTGAGTTATCATTGATAAAGTAACTTAAAATCCACTTTAGTGTTTATTTGTTATTATGACTAAAGAACTGATTGATTAAACTGATTTACAGCTAGTTCTAGTACTTGTTTCATAGCTATTGACCTGTCGGTCTTTTCCTAAGAGTGTGGGGAGTTCTTTTTAAATTCTCAAAGGTCAGTTGAGATTCCTTGGTAGTGGGGAGGCCATTTCAGAAATGGGGAGACACACCTAATGTTTAATGTTAATGTTTGCATTTCTGTAATGAACCCACTTCAATTTCTGCCTCCAAATTTTCATGAAAGTCAGCTCAGCCACAGTATGGGTCATTTGTGTATGTGGGTTTTTTCTCCTCGTTGAAATTGAGGAAAAAGTTGGATTGTATGTCTGAGTCAACTTGTTGTGGATAAGAGTTAGCAATTAGGAGCCTAGAGGCAGAGATGACTATTCAGCAAATATTTACTGGCATCTTACAGTGTGCCAGGCTTTCTTGTAGGCCCTTGGGATACATCAGTGAACAAAACAAAGATCCCTGCCTTAAGTTTTAGTGAGGAGGAGGAGAGTCAGGTAATAAAAAATAATATAAAACAAAAACAGTATAACATAATTATTATATAATATTTCAAAATGTGGTATTATAGTAAAACAAAAGATATAATAAGAGGAATCAAGGTACCAGAAATGTGAGGGTAGGAGGAGGCCACAATATTCAATATGGTGAGATTTGAGCAAAGCCTTAAAAAGATAGAGGAGTTCAACAAATATGGTAGAAGAGTATTTGAGGCAGGGAAACAATTAGAGCAAAAGTCCTAGGTGAGGCTGTGCCTAATGTTTGAAGAGCAATAAGGCCAATGTGGCTGAAGCTGGGAGAAAAAGGAGATGAGGATGGAATCAGAGAAAAAATCAGTGGCCAGGTCATGGGAGGGCCTTGTAGGCCATGTTAAGGACAGTGGCTTTTATTCTAAATGAAAGAGTCATTATAGAGTTTTGAGCAGGAGAATGGTGTGTTCTGATTTATATTTTGAAAAGATTTTTCTATTGCTGTGTTGAAAATATACTATATAGTAGGTCAAGGTTTGAAGCAATTGGGAGAGTATTGCAAATAATCCAAGTAAGAGATTATGGTGCCTCATACCAGGGTAGTAGTAGTGGAAGTGGTGAGAGGTGATTGGTTTCAGGATATACTTAGAAAATTGGAGTTAACAGAATATGGATGTGAGAGAGATGAGTCAAAATGACTTCAAGATTTTTGTCTTAAACAGCTAGAAGATGGAGTTGTCATCAAGTGAGGTGAAAAAAGCTGTGGGTGGAGCAGGTTTAGATGGGGAGATCAGGAATTTGGTTTTGGATTTGTTGAATTTGAAATATTAGTTAGACATCCAGTGGAGATATTGAGTAGGTAGTTTGGGAGAGATAACTGACTGGAGATAATAGATTTGAAAGTTATTGGCATGTGGGCACTATTAAAAGCCTCACTATTGGGTGAGATTACCAAGTGAGTATACAGAAAGAAGAGAAGCAAGGATGGAGCCCTGTGGCACTCCAAAGTAAGAAGAAGGAACCAGCAAGGGAGACTGAGCAGGAGCATTCACTTGAGTTAAGAAGAAAACCAGGAGAATGTAGAGTCCTAGAAGCCAATGAGTAAATATTATCAAGGAAAAAAAATAATAAACCTGTTGCTGTTAAGTCCATTCCAATTCATGGCAACCCCAGATCTATTAAA